ATTCATAACAATTCTAGGTAGTAACATCATCCTAGTTGCTGAACTACGTGAAGTTTACTTTATATTAGAAATAACGACGATGAGAATAATGTAACTGGACAAAATATAATTCTGTTTTTGTTTATTTGAAAATCAAAAGAAAAACAATCTCAGGAAATTTGAAATTCCCACTTTCTACAGTATATATATATATATAAACATAAGTTAAACAGAAAAATCTAAAACAAGCGCATTTGAAAAGAAACAAGTCGTGTTAATTAAGATTTTCACACATGTGCTGAAACAATATCAACCACTGATATTACCTAGAACAGTCATTTAAAACTATTTTTAACTTTTTATTCGACTAATAAAACTAATAGTAAGCACATGATTTAAGAGTATAAAAATTAGTATATCTATCGACTTTGGTGGAAATGTAAAGTGTTTTAAATAAAACTATGAGACCTTCAAACAGGAATAAGTGTAGGTGAGCCTAAATATCGAAGTGAATTTGAAAATCTGAACTAGGGAATATTTTGAAACTCACTACATCACTGTATTTTGACTAAAGAAGAACATCTTAATATTTTTAAAGCTAAGCATGCATATTAAAGAATTAGGTGGAAGTTCATAATAATGCTACACCCATTAACTGGGTATTGGTTTTAAGGAGAACCGAATATATCTATCCCTGCCTCTTGCGAGACGAGACCGGTATGCAGTGTCATCCTGTGGTGCATCCACTCGACAGCCTTCTCCCTCGATGGCCCAATTAGATGAAAGACACTGTATATGGAGACGTCTGTCTATGCAGTTTTAGTCATATCAGGATTACATGCACTTTTTCAGGGAAATACTCAGAATTGGTGCACAGAAAATAGTTAAGGATAAAACTTCCACAGAATAACTGTAAAACAGAGATTCAAATAAACTGACAGGAATGTTTGTTTTCAATAAAAATGTATTATCATTTCATTTAGAAGAGAATCATGCAAACAGAAACACTTAGCAGCTTAATTACAGTGAGACCGGTAAGAGTTACTTCAACTTTCGTATAATATTAATAATAATCATAATATTCTTCGATATAAGCAATAAATCATGGCTCTTATTATCAGTTCTAGAAAATTACGCTTCAGGTTGATTCAAGTAAACTGACAATGGCTATCACCTCTTTTAAATGTTATGTGCCTAGTCCTCAGTCTCATTGCTGACTGAAATATATTTTTTAAGTTTGATGTTTTGTCACCGAGTTAGGTGACTTGTCAGTACTAAGGAATAGACACATGACATTGATTATTCCCTAGTGGCCAACCAATGTACCCATTACGGTCCCACTGAAGGATAGTCTTGAGCACGAGTAGTTGCACAACTAAATGATGTGAGTTTGAATTTCCCAGGGTAAATCATTTACTACAATGTTGCAGTTACATCTTGCTGAAGATTACCGACAAGCAAAAACCTAAGCCCATGGATTCCTGTTGATGTTTCCCAATAAGCTGACGTCTTTTTAACAGTTTTATTGCTATTCAAGATGGTCTGTTAAGTGCATTTTGAAAACGTATGTTATTGTTCATTGTTTCTTTTTTAAATGTTCAAGACACCTGAAAAAATTCATCGTAACCTTCTTATGTCAATGACTAAAACAGTAGACTATGTTAAAAAATGAAGTGGCTATTCCCTTTACACAGATACACCTGACATATTGCATACTTAATTGGATTGCCCCTGAAGTATTCTATTGTGTAATCATATTGGTCATTACGGCCTAGTGACTACATTTATACGAAGCGTAACTTTTCGCATTCAATAAATTTATTTTATTTTGTACTCAACACATCATCCAGTAAATCATACTGTATCATTTGATGCTATATCACTATAGAATTACATTCTATCATGATAACAGGTTTTAATTTTACGAAGAAAGATACACCTCTTCATTTAAAATTACGGTTAAAAATAACAGGAAAAAATCATGATAAAACTTTCGTATAGATTATATATTTGAGCTTATGAGAATGATACAACCGAAATGAAATGCATATTTTAAATTCCACATTAAGTTATTGTTAGTATATTGTTTCTTCATTCAATCGTATTTTGAGTAGGAAGGCTGCATCCCCTGGTCTATCCTTCCAATTTTAGTCATGCTTAATTTAGTGTATTAGTCAAAAGTTATTATATGTTTTTATATGAATTGTACAGGATTAGCTTGTCATTATCAAGATGCATATACTGCCGTCTAGACTAGTTTTATGCTGATAATAATATACTGACTACGGGTAAACTCAGCCTATAGGGAAACAGTCCTCCCTTATAGGTATAAAACTTCCTTTAATTTCACAAACAGAAAATTTTACATCAAACTACCAGGGCTAATTCTTTAGGAATCCCAGTAAACAGTTTAGGACACAACAAAATAAGCTCATTAAAAAAGCAGTGTCATTATATCCTTCACTATCTTAATCTTGCTTGTCGTCAAGATCTATGTAGCATGCTGCAAGTTGTCAGTTATAAATTATCAGTCTATTGAAAAACAAATAAAACTATTGAAAGACACAAATATTAATTACACTACAATCATGCATCGTCGGTGCGTTGGTGGCATAATGATTAGGACGCTCGCCGACCATGCACATGGTCCGGGGTTCGATCCCCGGCCGACTCACTCCTTTACCTCGCTTAAACAGGAATAATGCTAGTAAAGAGGAAAGGTTGGGCATGGGGCTAGCAACCCCATCCTGTAAAAATGAACACTGCTACAGAAACTTCAAGCCACTAGCTTGAAGCCCTATGTTCTACTGGGAACGTGAAGGAAAAAAAATGCATGCAATAATGGTTCTTTCAAAAACCACTTGAATACTTCTGAATTAATAGGCCAAAATGTCATGAAAAATAATTAAAATAAGGAACGTATTTAATGAAGAAGAATACACTTTTCGAAGTTTAGCAGTGCAATTCACTGCTTATTATTCATTTTTTGTGATACTCAGCTCAAGTGTCGGGCTTATTAATTTTAAGAACTTTACTGATCAAGTTAGTTTGTGAGTTCATATCAGATAGTAGGTATGTACTGTCATGCATTGCTTTTTCGGTTGTCATTTATGGTACCATATATTGTGAGTAGTTTCCAACTACCCATACCAATTACTAGTAAACATCGTAAATAAAGTATTCATTCTAAATATTATGTAAATTTCAGGCTATTTTTAAAATTTTATTTTATTTTTTTTATTTTTGATCACACCATGATTCCACACCGTACTTTTGGTACAAGTGTGGAATTTTCACCGGGGATATCGGTAGCCCAAAGTTCGCAGGCCGACCATAGATATCAGGTGTGCGTCGGCGTGGGCTCGAACCCCGGACCATGTGCATGGTCAGCGAGAGTCCTAACCACTGTGCTACCGACGCAAACTAACTCCAAAGTAATCGCGCGTGTTGAGGAATACCGAGATTGGAAATCTTAATTTTGAGGAAATAGTGATATGTCTTGTGAGTCGGTGGTACAGACATAGAATGCTTGCCAACCACGCATGTAGTGCGGGGTTCAATCCTTGACCGACGCACTCCTTTACCTCACTAAGCCAGTAATAAGATTGGTAAAGAGGGGAGGTTGGGCATGAGGCTAGCAACGCTATCCAGTAAAAACATACGCTACTACTACCAAAACTTCAGAGCTCTAGCTTGAATCCCTATGTTCCACTTGGGACGTAAAAGCAATAAAAAAGGTGATGTCTATTTAAGAAGATGAATTTTTACAGCTAAATTTCATTACATTGAAATTTATGAAGGCATAACTAAGAAACAACTTAGTAAAAATTAAAAACTGATTTTCATGTAATTTGTGCAACCAGTGCAAAGACTCGTAGCATCAACCCGTTTGCAGATATCAGGATTTAAAGATTCAGAAAAAGAGTGTATTGGGAGAGAATTGTTGCATGAGGATATTTTACTGTAATACTCAGTAATTTATATCTTATACGAACACACTCTGATAACGGATGGGAAAGGAAAAAATATCGAATATCACTGAGACTCTCAAGAAGAACAACTACCTAAAGAACTTCATCAACAAAATCAACAATGATATTAAATATGGTCGATAGCGTATTCTGAAAGCATGGACCCCAACAGTTGTCATTCCAAATAGAGCGGAGACGTCAGGCGATATCAGAAGAGTACTCAATCAGCTTGACATCAGAGTTTCCTTCGAAACATCAGACACTGCGAAACAACCTTGTCCATATTAAAGACCAAATCCCTAAAGATTTTCTATCCAATTGTGTCTATAAAATAAAATGCTCGGAATGTGATGTGATCTACATCGGACAAACATCTCGAGAAATCAAAATCAGAAGGAATGAACACCGTAGGGCATCTCTTCGACCACCAAGAAATCCAATTAAACTAGAAAAGCTTGAAAAATCATCAGCCATAAGTCTACACACTATAGAATCAGGTCGCAAAATTAATTAATGATGAAATCCTGCATGCAATCAAACAAAATCCCTACAAAACCAATACTTCAAAATATTGAAATAATCCAGAGAAATTTTAGAAATCACAGGGAACGTCTAACATCAGAAGCACTTCATATCAAATCGAGTCCAAGTTGTTTGAACCGAATAGGAATGATGGAATAAAACAGAATTTTACCAGGTTACAACACCTCGCTTCCTCATGAAGTGGCAAAATCAACACGAATGTGATAAGTAATTTCATTATGTAAACACATGCTGCGTTCAGAATTCTATACACTTATCAAATCCAACAATCTACACTCGGTTTTGTTATCTCTACCAATTGACCAACATGACAACGTCAAAATTAACCCATGATGACTAAGTTGTCATATATATGCATATATTGAGATTTTGTAAATTCTGGTTTAATAATACTTTTATAGGGCTATTAGCATTAAATAAAGAAATGTCAGTAAAAAAATGTCGTTTGGTTTTTCATTCATTGGGAAATACAAAAAATACTTTTATTATAATGAATTTATATCTTACCTTATTGCTCGGTGCGATCAAATAACTCGGCACAGTGTTCATTTCATCAATCCATCCTGGTGTACCGTCTAATTCTCCATTTGTTTCTCCATTTGACAAAATACTATCTGCTGGAATTTCACTAGGCGCTAATAACCAAGAATAAATAGGACACATATAAAGATGTAAACCAAATTACCAATTTTCCAAGCACTTGTTAAAGGTAGCAAAATACAGTGGATAAATGAAAGTAAAACAAAGAGGATGTACCAAGTAGAGCTATTATTCATGATGAAATATTTCGTTAATTAATTTCCGGAGTTAATGTTTTCCTTTTCCAAAAACCAAAACTGATTTATACTTCAATAATGTGTTACATTACGTTTCCTTTTTTATGATTGGTAGCTACTGACAAATAAATGTGACTGGCCAATTACCTTTCAGAAGCGAAAGACAGTTTATCAGTGTAATTGAGTTAACAAATAATCTTAAATTAAGTGAAATGCAAACAAAAGATGGCTTAGTATAAGTTTACACTACATGTAAATACACATATGAAGATAATAGGTTAAGGTTAAGGTAAATAAAGCTGTTGTTAAAAAAAAACATGAGAGGGGTTTCCTTCGGTAGACTAATGCTTAATGCCGTACAATGACGATCATACTTTTAATTAAAACTTGTTCTACAGTAAAATTTCGAGAGGTAACCTTCGACACCAGATTCTTTTGCATTATCACCTTACTTAATGATTTTCTTTTAAGCAAACTTTTTAACATTCTTAATCTGTTTAATCAGTAATTAACTTTTCAAACTAAACATATCTTCGGAAAATTATTTAATTTTGGGAAGAATCAAGTGCAGTTCTTTGCATGATATTGGAATCAGACATTTTTCGTTTTACGATTAAGACTGAACAGCTCATATTTCGAACTAAATACCAAACCATTACAGATTGATTGACAATCAAGTGTTGTATCCCTACACTTAGCTTCTTTGTGAAAGAACTAGGGTGATCTAAACCTGATTAAATATTCTTTTGAAAGTACATTGACTATTATTTGTTAGTCATCCGGAAAGCATTTTTGTTACAGTGTGAACTAGACTACTATTTGTCTTGCGATAAATGTGATTACCTTTCATTTCTAAGTTCACAAAATATACTTTTTATTAAAATGATTAGTTTATAATATAGCCTTCTTCAGTCTGCAGTTGTCATAGTAATCGATAAGCGTTTCAAACTATTCATAACCCGTTCATCTTCTTTTCTTTTCTACAAATTGCGTACTTTTGATTTGTAGTAGTAAGAATGACTCAGTATGTGAATAAATTCAAAAACTCTAACCTATAGACTATTATTGTATTTTGCAAAATGTTGAGTTGAAATGGGGACGTCGAACTGGTGACAGACGCGGTAATCACGAGTATCGCTTGTCTACACCAAACACGTACATAATGGCTAATCGATCTCTCAGCCTGCAAATTAAGCGACAGCAAACAAATGACAAGACGGGAAAGTTAGTATATTTATACAATAACGTAAAATTAAAAAAAATCACTGTCGATGTGTTACTCAGTCTGTAATCATGATCAATAAAATAGTGGGCGTACTCTATGTAGACCAATTCTAATTCGGCTATCTCCAGACTGGACATTGATCACCATATCAACTAATTATGATATAACACATATTTTAGATTGGACACTAATCAGGAATTAGTGTAATGTATGTATGTGTGTGGTTCTATCTTTGGTGCAGACTGAATTCTGTCAATCAAGTTTGCAATGTAGCCACCATGCTAGGTGGCTCGCGGCTCACTGTAAATTGTTGGCATTAGATGGTTGGAGGCAATCGGCAGGAAGCCTTGGATCTAGGTTTCGTGCTAGTTGGCACTCACCAGTCACCAAGACGTATGTGCAATCTTGAAGGAACTCATGTCCATTGTGAGATAAGAATCCGTGTCACCCAGTGCTGCAGTTAGAGATTTTGCCACTTTCAATAATTCCCTTTACAACCACTGTGCTTACTTTAGCTCCTAGAAAATATGATTTTTCTGATTTAATAAAACAGTACTCAAATACATCAGAATTATCTCTTAAATTTGATATCAAATTTTAATTACTTAGCATTATTTAATAAGTAATCAGTTCACAATAGGAAAAAAACTGCATTTTTAAATTCACTTTGGCTAAGGAATGATCTGAGTGAACAAGGTTTGATATAAGTAGTTTCATAAAATTTGTAATAGCTTTTACCACACCAGAGTGAAATTCTTCAAATTTTAATTTTAATCCTGCTGGTGATATATATATATATTTATCAGGTATACTATATTATATCTAAAAAGTGTCTTATTTATTACTTTTCATAAATGTGTGAGTTGCAGGATGGGGCAACATCTTCAGTTCTAACTTCAATATGAAGTGGAAGTTTAAGATCCTCCATGGGGTTGATAACTGTTCATCTTGGTGGCCTTGAGGGTGACGCGCTGTCTGTAGAGGTTTTCTTATCCTCTTGTTCACTTGCATAGGTACTGGTTATTCTTTCGACCTGATAAATGACCCGCTGTACAAGTGTATTCTTTTTACTGTTCCATGAATCTGATCAATGTAAGTGTGTCTGTTCATTTCAGATTCATTAAAGCACCCAGATTCAAAAAATTCTCTGGCATTTTCCTTTGTCTATAACTTTTCCAGTTTGCTAACATTTAAAACCTGGCTACTGTGACAATAAATTTGTTGATATTCAAGCATTTTGAACACAGGGATTTTATTTTTTTTCTAAATTAGGCAAGATTCACTCTTGATGTTTGATATATTACCATTCATAAGTTCTGAATGTTTTGTTCAAAAGTGTAATTTCTTGTCACTTTTAGTTTCACTCGAACTAGTGATTGTAATTTTGGAAAATAAATCTTGAAGATTCTCTGTAACACATTTCTTGGTGTTCGAGATATTCTTTCAAAATTAAAAAAAAATAACTGAGAACAAATTCTGCCTTTTGTACATCTATTCATTTGTATTGTATTATGTGCTGTCCATTATTTTTTTAAGATCCTTATCTTCAACAACAAACCGAATAAAAGTCAGGATACCTAAGAGTTTTCTTACACAGAATTATGTGGTGATAAGCAATAGTGCAGCTGCTGATATTTAACCTCAAAGATGTTTAACAATATAGTAGTTTACTTTTTACTTATTTGTATATTTAGATATAAACAAAGTCTTGAGCCAAAAAGAAGGAATGTTGTATAAACTTTTACGCATTTTTCCTCTATGTTATGCCAAGTGTAATCACCAGTATTCAAGTTTAGCAATAAATAGATAAATCTAAAGTGATCTTGCGTCTTTCTGAACCACCTCTCAGGTTGCATACTGATCTACTCATTTAATAAAGCGAACAGTTATTCCAAACAATTTACTGCATATACTTGAACATCCAGTAGATATTTGACGCGTTAAGATTGAAATCATTTATAAAGACATCTGCCTATGACTTTCACAGTTAGGTGAAATTCATATTAGCAATAAAGCATACTGACAAGCTTTTTCTAAAAGACATTGAAATAATCATTGTGTTTGGCGCTGTTCTTAATTAAGTGATATCCATACTTATGCTGGTGAAGATGTGACACATTGGTTCATGTACTTGACTACAGGTGCTTGAGTTTAAGTTTTAAATCCTGCTCCATCTGTTTCAGCCTAAGCGACTGGATCATAGTATCAGCCTTCCCATAATAAATGTGCCCAATAGACTAATACGTGAAAACTCCCCTCCGGATAAATGAGTTCGAAAGTTAACTGTTAACTAAGGTCTTGAAAAAGGTGAGCGGTAGAGACCTTTTTGCAAATTTCAAATACCATGAACATTAATGAATTTGAGAAATTTAAAAAATTAGGAGGGAGTTCACTCAACAAACAGTAGAGGGTGTTTCTTAAGCAGAAGAAAGAAAAAACTGACATTGTTTACTACTGACAAGAATAAAGTGCACAAACAGTTTCTTGATGAGACTTAGGTTTGAAATGAGAGAAAACACGGTTCAAAATTTAATGAGATAGTCACCTACCTAAAAATTAAATGTATTACCTCTGGTGTTAAAATGATATAAGATTCAGTAAATCAATGTCAATCGGCTGAACGAACAGTGTAAACCGGTAAAGAGGTAGCAAAAGAATCTTGAATTAAGTTTTAAAAAGCCAGAAATAATATCACTGAAGCAGTTGTGAAGTGATTACTATAACTGATAAGGCAATTTCACAAAGAGTCAAACATTTTTTTTTTTGGTTTTTTTTTGCTTTGGCAAATTTAACAAATATATTCAAATTAAGAAATCGGTAGGCACATCTTTTAACATAACTAAAAATTTTTATTTTGACTTCATGCTCCGCACAAAACCATTTTTAGATGAATAAAGATCATTCGAAATAGTGGTAGTTAACCTAACAAGTCTCTCAGAGTAAGATTCATACAAAATCGTGACTGAACCCTTCTGGTGCCGATTGATGATTGCTCAAAATTAACTCACTTTTTTCAAAATAATTAGTTCCTATATGTGTAGGAAACTCAGTCTTACACACAAACAATTTGTCAGTATCGGATATAAAATTGTTAAGTAACAGTTCAAATTGCTAACTTTCTCATTTGCATATCATGAAGGAGACTGATAAGAAAGACGTCAAAAAAATATTTATGTAGGAAATTTTAAATAGTAGTTAGATAAACGAATGGATAGATTTGCATAAACGAAAGTGATTTTAAATCACATCTCCTGGATTCCTCCGAACCGTCTTCATTATTTAGCAATCTGTATTTCCCTACAAAATTTAAATAATGACTCCACGACTTTATCTAACCAACCTTAACTTTATCCCAATTATCCTCTGATGAAAATAATACGCTGACATATATATATATATATCGGCAAATAAATGTTTGGTGTTTCATGAGAAACCTTCTGCTTTGCTTTTACGTTATACACGCAGTAGTTCCATCATTTTGTTTGCCGGACAGAAGCAGTCACAGACCTTTCATGTAGTAAGATAGAGGACACTGCTATGCAGTATGTAACTCCTATAATCGGTAGGTATGATGACTTATTGTTATGAGAATTACTGATGAAATAAACTAAGGTAGGTCCATACGTCATCACAGGGACCAAGTCCTACTCATCCGTCTTCTGAAGACCGTTTTGAAAGATTAAAACTGTTTTTCGCAAATGCATTAGTAATCTTATAATGATTTCCTAATTTATTAACAAAAACCTAAAGCATCACAAATTACTTAGTTCAACAA